TTTCAACTTTTCTAACACAGTGGCTCTTCATCAGATCTAAAATAGATGTCACTTATTTTTCACCATATTCTAAAAATGCTTTCCCAATAAGCCTTCGACCATCACAGGCTTTGATCACATGGCCGACCAATTCTATTACCATATAAGTTTATAAATTTTTTATCTATTTCTTAATAGTGAAATTACGCTCATCGTGATTTGGTTAATCCTTTCATAATTGAACAGGTGCTTGAAATGCCACAAGAAAGTTGTACATTGTAATTTTTGTTAATATATTGTGTATTGTTTATATCATGAATATTTTCGATCGTTTTCTACTTGATGTCAATTTAAAAGTAGTCTAAGATTGACTTTTTTTTGAGTATGCTGATTTGATTGCTGAACTAATAGTGTGCTAGTGTTTCATAACAAACCAAAAGATATATTTATGCAATAATTACTTTTTTTTTTAATTTTTACAAATTTTTACATTTTTTTTTTATCTCTATCAAATTCTATTGAATGTAATATTTTCTTCAAAGTACTGTTTACTTTGGGTAAAATATAATTCTTTTCTTATTATGCATTTGTATTATAATTCAGGTCATTGAAACTGAGACATTTTAAAATTTAAGTGCAGGAAATAGCATTTTCACCAAATTGTATTCTGCTAAAAGCTCTATAAATGTAAAATAAAATGATGTTCTATTTAGTTTCCGTGATGACAAATGTCAATGTTTTACTTCCTTCTTGCTCTTGCAATTTATTTTATTTTCCTTTTCCTTCTGAAAATTCAAATTGAAAAAAAAATATGTGGGAAGATCCTTGAGATTTTGATTGAAACATCAATGTTAATGTTCTTGATCAAGACATCAATGTTGATGTTCGAAATCAAGACTCCCTTTTTCGTCATAAGCAGATTTATTTTTGTATTCCATTAAAAAGTTACCTCTCTTGAAGAGACATTCGAATCAACTACTTTTTAAAAAAAAAATCATTAATGCTTAGTTTTGTATGTTTGGATGTAGGGATTTTCAAATTAAAATCATTTTACATTTTGAAGTTCAAATTGCCCAGGCAAATGTTAATCTAAAAAATCAAAGAAATTTTTAATCGTATGAAAGGGCTCTGGACATGGACCAAAATTGATTCTATTACAGAAAACAAAATATTACAGAAGGACTACGCACGCTAACTCTCGACTACAGTGTACACTTTGAACCCATCTAAATCAAAATCTACATCAAGTTGAACGTAAAACCTTTGTTAAATACAAAGACAGTTGAATTAATTAACATATTATGTTATTTTAATGCCACCGCTAAATGAAAAATGATCCATAATTCCAGCTCTTGTAATAAGGAAGGTAGAAGATATTTTCCAAAGAATCGAACTTTCAAGCATCACCATATTTCAAAATAGTCTTATACGAGGGTTGTCTGGTAAAATCGTGTACAAGTTATGTAGTAAGAAAAATAATCACCACGTTCTGAAATTTTCACCACTATTTTGGACATATTTTATAAACAAACATAGCAAATTTCAAATAGATATATGCATAAATAAACAAATTTTGAGATTTTATGTTATGCATTGCATCGCCTTACGGCGCACTGATGATAAAGTCAAAGTGTCTAAATAACGTCACATTTCACCTTTGTTAAAAATGAAGTTGGATTAATCCCTCTATACTTTAGGAATTTCATTGATACACATACCTGAGTCACCATAAATAGTTGAGGAACCAATATGGCACACATATACGATCTTCTGAAGATTCATTAGTAAGTTGCGGACGAAATTCTCACCATCATTTGACTAAATAGACAATATAGATATATATACTAGTATATTATATCGACTGTGGACAGTGACAACGTCTTTTCCTATTACGATAGTAGTTTGTATGTATGTGGCAACGCACTTTGAAAAAATTACGCACTTTGAAAAATTTTTCAAAGTGCGTTAAATTTGGACAAAATCGACGCACTTTGAATTTCTTTTTCAAATTGCGTTAAATTTTGAACACACTCAATGCACTTTGAATTTTTTTTTCAATGTGCGTTAAAAGTGTACATAAACATATTTACCATGGGGAAATTTAACGCACTTTGAAAAAAATATACCTATAAAACAAAAAACTGTAGGCTCAGATTTTAGTAATAGAGAAAATCAATTTGTATTAGTTATATCTTTCGGGAAAAAAAACGTTTTAATATACATGTATTCATTTAACCTCATCGGAAAAAGGAGAAGACGAGTAGAATGTCTCTCAGCCCAACTTTTTTCTTATACATTGTACATAGCGGTTGGTAGCAAATTGAAAGTGGACTCCCCTCTTATAGCTAGGTAAGCCCCTGTTTTCAATGCCTATATATCTTTGCAAAATATTTGTGTGCGTAAGAACCCCTTCTCGGTATAGTTGCCTATGCTACACCTAAATATATGTATTTGCATAACTGGTATGACGTTGAAAACTTTCAATAAATTTTAGTTTACATATGAAATACATTCAGAATGGAAAAATTAAGTACAGTAAAACATTTAAGAGAGAAAGAATTTTCAAAGTATGGAAAAATAAAAATCGCTCACTTTCACATCCAGAAGTGACCTCATCACCGAAGAGTTATCAAACAGGTCCAATTGTTTATCAAACCTAAGATTTGCAAGAACATTGACCTAGTCATAAACATTTTTTTTTCTAAGTGCGTTAATATGGTTGATATTAACGCACTTTAAAAAGAAATTTTATTTTTTCAAAGTGCGTTAATTTGGACCCAAATTTAACGCACTTTGAAAAAAATTCAAATTGCGTAATTTTTCAAAGTACGTTGTAACTTGCGTATGTTTTGTACTACCTGGTGACTCGATCAAAAATACTTAGCTAAGAAAACTCCCATTTCATTTGCATACTAAAAATCTGATGACGTTTTTATATTTTTCTTCTTCTGTATTTAGTCAAAGTCTCGTAAGGTGTCTATATAACATCTTAATCAAATAGAACTGTTCTCCGGTGCACCGTAAGGTCATAAAACGTCGGCGTTTTTCGTGTTTTGTAGTTACCACTTTCCCATTTCAAATGCTCGGGAAACTGTCAAAAATTAACCAAATGCCTTGACTTTAAAAAAAAAACGACAAGATAAACCATTTCTTATGCTTTACGCAATTAGATTAAACATAAATATATATATATTAATAAATCATATGTGTTACTTTTAAATCGCTTTGAAGTTATTGGAAAAATTGGCATTTTGTCGATTTTTATCTATAAACATAAATATCCCCGTAAATAAGCACTGGTATGGATTTGTAAAGTGACAGTCCATATTATAGGTACCTGTATAAAGGAATTTTGTTTCACGGTCTTTTGCGGTTTCCGTTGATTTCTATACTGCAAAGTTTTCCCAATATTAATGAGTTATCTCTCCTTTTTTTCCCAAATCAGTTATGTTTCATGAAAAATCATATAAACATTTAAAAACTATATATATAAATATGCCCCAATGTCGGTTTTCTTTGGTCTTTGTTTATTTCTTATAAACACCCACCCACCCCCTAATAAAAAAATCTTTTGATTTTGGGCGTGAAAGCGTGATTGGGTTTGTGAATTTGCTTGCTTGTTTACTCCCTTTAATGATGCTTCACTCCTCATTAATCACAACTACTTGCTCCAAAGTGGCATAAGGGCCCATTACATAAAGATAAAGCCCTTATTGAGCCATTATACACGTATATACAGATATAAGGAAAAGGCTTTAAACACCCCTCCATGCGCCATGCGGATAATGCTCCATTAGGGGGATGTTTGAAAAGAGGACAGGAATTTCAGTGATGCAATTATAATTAATGTACTTTAAATACCTGTGGAATGTGTATTCCTCTGTTGAAATACTACTGAAAGGTCACATGTCAACCTCCATGTATATGAGTGGCGTATGAATACGCCAAAGAAAAAAAAAGATGTTTTTTTAAATTGTTTCCTCAAGTAATTAAATACGCAGTATATTTTTTTTTAAACAAAATAAATACTAGTAATGGATTTTCTTTGAATCAAAAGCAAGTCGCTAGTGCAACGCTGTCAACTATCACCGAGGCCTGGTGAGACCGAAAACTCCACTTCCATATACACGGTAAACAGCTAAGCTGAACCAGGTGGTGAAATCGGTATAGCCACATAGATCTGCACTTCATCATATGATACACGCATCGTCCTTCAGTCATTTACCTTTGACTTCCGACAACCGAAATCTATGTCACATATATAATTAAAGTCAGCAAGGTTGCTATGATTATAATTTAAAATTATTTTGTTGTTTATTTCATAAATGTTGATATTTGACAACAGTAACTAAACGGTCATTATATTTTTTCGTGTTTTTATTAGTATATTTTTTATAGCGTAATTTGACGTCATGGTGCGGGGCAATGGAGAATAACATGGAATGCCTTGTGCATTTCAAATCTATTAGATTAGACGGTATTTTGATTTATTTTAAGCTTGTTATTTAAGTCAAGTAAAATTGAAATTATAGGAAATCATTGTCTAGTTAGGAGACTATGCCGAGGACATCAACGATAGTGGGAAACATGGGATAATTTTCCAATCTATTTCACTATCGTTGATGCCCCTTACATAGTCTCCTAACTAAACAGTGATTCCATAAATAACTATGTATATATTTTTTTCATATCCACAATGCTATATTGATTTGATTATATATCCTGTTGAATTGATATCCGAAACTCAATATGACATTTTAGTTAAAAAGAAACTTAAAGCAATGAAATCTACCCAACAAAAGAAGTTGCCTTTTATTATGTAAAAACATCTTAATACAATTCAAAATATGTGTATGATAAAGGATTCATTACTTTTTATATCATGATAACACGATCAAATATTAGTTATAACATAGCAAGTGTTGAGTATTGTATACTTCCGTAATTTTGGCACAATTTTACACAGAAATACATCTGGTATAGATTTAGTTTCAATTTCACTGAGAGGAAATTATTTTCAAAAACAGCAGAGCTTAGTAAATAGAAGAATAATGTTGTTGAGTTGTTATACTAAAATTTCAAGCAATTGTTGAAGTCATCATGGAAAACAAGTTCCAACTAATATTGTTTTTCTTCGGGATACTTCAGACAGATCAGGTAAAAATAATGTTTTTGTTTATTTTAATCTTTGTACTTCTCATTTGTATGCCATGTAGTACGCCCTTCTGTAAGTAATGTGACCCTTTGTACATGTATCACAAAAACTATTTTAAACGTGTTTTTAAAATAAGATCAAAGCTTTGAGTTAAGCTAATTTTGACGGATCTCCTCCCTTTCAGTTTTGCCATTATGAAAGATTTTACTTTTACGTCACAAAAAAGATTTCCATTCTTTTAAATTGAAGTTTTATCGAGAGTTTTATTCAAATGTTTTCTTTCCTTTTTTGTAATTATGAAAAGTTTAGAAGCAATAGTCGATCTATAACTGTAGGAATACAAGGTATAGTCTTTAACTTGAAATATGTTGGATTAAAGACTGGGCCCTTTTGTGATTAAGAATATTATTAAGTTCATTAATGGCGTCATTTCTTTTTCTTGCTCCTTTGCAAGAAAACTATTTAAAAATTTCAAAGGGACAGATTAAAGTTTGGTGCGAATATGATTGTAACGTTGAATTAGCCAGGCTTTCTTTTTTAAATAAAAAACAAGAACCTCTTCAAAAACAAACAATTTATTTAGAAAAAAAAATATAAGAAAAGACAAATAAAACTATAAAATGACACAATTACACACATTCACTCTCACGCAAATGGTCGTACAAAAAAATGTTATTTACGAAAAAAAATTAAACGATCAAAAGACGTTTAAACAGCTGTGTTAACCCGTGTTCAGATCCAACCCAAGAAAATATAACTATGGTGGTATTGTCCATAATTATCCATACGACAGTCTCAATGAAGTCCAACACTTTGTTTTAAACCTCCCAAACCTCCGGGGCTGTAGTCCCAGACTATGGTAGGGATCAATGTTCACAAATACTGATAATTCTCGTGTTTAAGTCTTCATCATCATCATCATCATCGTCATCATCACATCACCGTCGTCATCAGAGTTTCCATATTGCTAAAATATTAACTCTCCTTTATCAGTAAATAGTTATTAACTTTATAGATGGTAATACTATCATACAATTATACTGGCTTTAATTAATAACCATATAGTTACATGTATTATTGAGTTCATTATAACATAAACACTAAGATACTTTTAATATCATCAGTTTGTTTACAGTTGAGATAGATACAACATGGCTGACAATACTTCCGGTCAAATGTTATACCAGAATAATGTTTATAATCCTTTGTTTGCATATAACTGGATTCATGTACAGCTACATGTAATAAACTCTAAATCGATCTAAACCATTTTTTTTTCGAATGTTGCCTTTTTAAACTGGTACATATACACAGCTAAAACTTGCCCTAGTAGAGATAAAAGTGTTATTTTTCCTATAAAGTTTCTTAGACGACAACTTGAATATCATTTTGGGGAAAGGGGGTAAAACTTCCGGGAATACACAGGTATATTGGATAAATCTGAACTTGCAAATGCTGAAATGAAACATATGAAGAGAACGAACAATATTCAAGATCAAAGGTCTATTAAACAATACAAAATAAGAGCAGAGTGTGCTCCGTGTCATGATTGGTTTATAACGGAAGAACCCGTCATCAATTCAGCATTTAAATAATGGACTTACAATCAGTATGAAAAATGTCAATCAGCATTTTACTCAACCAATAAATTGTAATTGCTGACAAGGTCATTGTATCGACCATAGAACTTACAAAATGATGACTTTAAACGAGAAAGATGATTTCCGAAAATATAACTATCTCAAATATGATAAAATTCTACCAGAATTGAGGAAATTTGGTGAAATGTCCTACTTCTGCACTTTCTAGTGGCTTCCCTGTAAGATCTGAAGCACGCATCATTTTAGGTTCTTAAATAAAAACTGTTACAATTTTACCAGTGTTCTGATTATTACGTCAATTAAGGGGCCAGGTTTGGCCGTTATGCTACCTTTTCCTTTGCAATTGACCGATTGACCGCAGTTCTATGATGAGATAATATTATTTTTGGGACCGTTCGACGTTTAAATCATTTCAACATACATGGTACAAATTGTCACCTTCACTCAAGGTATTCCATAAAACCTGGTACTAAATATGAGTTTTATGCTTTTTTTTGTATATATGAAGTTCGGCTCATGCATTTATTTAGCATGAATGATTCTTTTACTGTTCCAGAGGTTCTTAGGGCAAGATGGCATGGCTGTTTTTCCAGTAGACAATTGTCCAGGGAACATGTCTGAAGTTAAAGATGCTTCAATAAGACTTAATTGTTCTTATATTGCATACTCTCTAAATGTTTATCATTGTCTGCCATTAGCTGACCTGTCTCAGCTTGTGGAATTCTGCTACGATAGAACCTCCGGTTTGGTTGAAGAAGGTAAGACACTTTTTTATTTTAAGATTTTATTACTTGATTATAATGTTTGGTAATTTAGGGTCTCCGCCAATAAAGGAAATTATGTTACTTGCATATTTGTATAATATGCATAATTGATGAATTCATGAATAATCCAAACTACGTGACCGAGGTTTATAATTACCTTAATGTCATTTGTCAAAAACTAGAGTTGTCCATTGAATGTATAATTATAAGTGACATAGCGATGTCAATAGAAGTAATTTTACCATTGATGCTTGCAACAGATAAGGATGAATTAAAAAATACTGGTCACACATTTGTCACCCTGCAAAATAAACATAGACAAATAGAATAAAATTCTCTGTAGCAGCTTTTTTTTATTTTGTCTATATACAAGTCAAATCTCTTATTTATATCTCAAAACACTAAAAAACATTCCCCCAAATCATGCTAAATATGATATGAGTTGAATATCTTCTTTATGATTTCATGAAAATTCAATATTTTTTTGATGATTTGCAAAATAAATTAGAATTTTTTATGTTAAACAGAAAGTCATTCTTGTTAATGTGTAAGGCATTGAGCTTCAAATTTAGATTACAGCAAGATTTGGTCATGGCTGATGTTGAAAAAAAAAATAATATCAAGAGTGCAACGTAAGAGGTGCCCAAAAAACGAATTAAAACATTTATTTGATTGATTGAATGCTGTTCTAACGTCCTATTCAATTTTTCTTTTACTTATGTTGCCATATATCAGTAAAGGGCTTGCATTTTTTACCTTTATTCGGCACAAATGGCCACTGAACAGCGAGGGATCCTGATCGTGCGAACGCCTGTCGTGACACGGGACCCCGATTCGAAGGACAAAAAACTTTCATTTCAAGTCCCGAGTGCATGGCGAAGGAACACTCGCTACTCATCTTTTATCGACTTAGGTCAGTCGTTGCCGAGATTCGAAATCACCACCTCTCGATCATGAAGCGAGTGCTCTATCCAATCCACAATTAAGTACAAAGATGAAAAAAAATCAATGTGTACAAAATACACTGAAGCTTATATATCATTCAAAACTTAAAAAAAAAAGTTACAAAGGTGAAACAAAAACCATTCTTTCTTGCGACTAACCCCCTTAAATTGCATCGTCTGAAGAATATTTCTAACAAGATAATTTACTTCTTAATTTGTTTAAAAAAAACAATTAATTTTATCAAAATCTCTTTATCAGAACAGCTGTTTTTGTTTACGCTTATTCACAAGATTTTTTTTTTAGAAAGTGAATGTTGCCAACAAAATGTAGTCTTAAAAAGTAAGCTTCTGTTATCATATAAAACGACCACAGCGCTTCATTTTTACCCTATATCTGTATCTCATTTTAATTGTAATCTCTTGAAAAAATTCGTTCATTAAATGTACCATGACTAACTTAGGAGTGGTATCTATGGTATTTACATATGTGTCTTCTTAAACAAATTGTCCCTTCCCCAGACACACACACGTGCACAATCCCCGTGGGGATCCGGATTAGAATAGGTCCTCAGTACCGCTTTGTTTTTCGTAAAAGGCGACTAAATGGGGCGGTCCTTCGGATGAGACCGTATAAACCGAGGCCCCGTGTCACAGCAGGTGTGTCTCTGCTCAAAGGCCGTAAGTGCCGAGCATAGGCCTAAATTTGCAGCCCTTTACCGGCAATGGTGACGTCTCCATATCAGTGAAATATTCTGGAGAGGGACGTTAAACAGTATACAATCAATCAATCACTTGCGCAAAAGTTACCCTGCTATTTTTGAAATATTTTTTCATTGGCAATGAATATAATAACTTTTATTGCATTTTTTGTACTTTTTGTCAAACCATGTGGCTTGACCAAACATTGATTGTTTAACTTATCAAATATCCCTTTGAAAGCTAGAAAGCATGAAATTAATCAAAAACATTTGCAATTTGTAAGAAAAAAAAATGTTTGTGTTGTTTATCCTTAAGTTAGATTTTCTCAAAAACCAAACGCCTGCACTACCAGAAGCCCTTGAAAAAGTTAATTGCCTGTGTAGGAACTTTAATATGATATATAAACTGTAGGTTTGTAAAATTTGTTCGGATGCCCCACGTTTGAAAGTCTATGAATATTCAATTTTCGTTAATAATCGATTTCAATAATTTTCTACTGGCTTGGGATATTTCATGAGTTCCAATATGAAACAATTGTATAATATTTTACCACACATATCGCTTTTAATTTTATTTCTATCATACTCGTCTAAGGTTTAAAAATCGGGTTCCTTGGTTCTTTCTTAATTATTAAGATAAGCAATTCACGATTAACGTCATAATTCATGAACAATTTCAAAGAATTTTCACCGGTATATATGTAACTGTTAATGAAAAAGGGAATTTTCTTTATTTCTAAATGTGTTTCTGGTTTCGTTTTATTGTGATAAGATTATTCATGTATGTCGAGCTAGAAATGATCAGATGTAAATTTGCTTTAAAATGTTCATTGAATTGTTTTGTTGAGATTAAAGACGATAAGACATCATATTATTAATCAAGATGAAATATATATCAAATTAAGCTTAACTATAAGTATATCAGGTCTAACTACTTATTTCTGAGATAATGTAAAATAATGCGTTTTATTGCAGCCAATATCGCAATGTTTAAATAGGTTCTTGACATGAAAAAGTTTATCCAACACTAAATTAGACGAAAAGAGAAAGAAAACTTATAATTAAAAGCTTTTTATTCAACAAGCCTAGAAAAAAAATATACACAGATTGTTTTCTATTATTATCTGACGTAACCCTCTCAATTTTCTAACGTTATACATACATAATCATGAAATATTTTTTTTCACTGTTTTACAGGAAATTGTATGGTTCTGTATCATTTTACTTTAAATAACTACCCCTGTGAAAATTTCGCCAAAGGCTGTCCAAACAGAGTTTTTTTCCCAAAAATGATGTTTAAATGTAAGTGTTTACATTATACTATAGATAAAAGCTTCATCTTCTTATTATATATGAATGCTTTTAAAAGATAGGAAACCAGTTATATTCATTTTTTTATGCTCGTCGTCCGTATTTACGTCATAAAATGCTGGAAATATGTTTATGCTATTGATGTGTTTCATTTTCCATAATTTTTAGAAAAATAAAACTATTTAGCATTAAGATAAAGTTATACTACATCTTCGAGATATTTTAGTGATAAATCTATTATGAATCCATAACTGACCAATGCTGTTTTCTGTATTTTATGTCTGCATGTGTCTGAGAAAGAATTGTATGTAGAAATATAGCCTTTTCCTTTTATCCATTTTTAGACTTTCTCAAAAGTAACCCTACTCCTTTTTTGAATTTAACATCTATATACAGTCGCACCTGCTCTTACGGTCACCCTAAATCAGCGGCCACTCCCCATGAGCGGCCAGTTTCAATCCCGCTCGTTCATTTTTACACTATATTTTAACTCATTTAAGCGGCCACCTGTCTGACGCGGCCAGTGGCCAGTATTTTTAGGTCCCGTGCGCTCCACATGACTGTTTTCAGCGGCCATTTTGTCTGTTTTGTCACATGACTTCCGTCTCACACTTGACCCCGTATCCTCATGCGAAGCCAAACATGAACAGCTGATAATGAGTTATTGACCAATAATTGCAGGTTGAATTTGAATTCTGTCAGGATTTAATGATTTAAATAATATGATTAAAAGTTTTATTGTTACGAGTGTTTTCTTTTCTTTTTTTTTTGTGGTGTTCTTTATATATACGAAAGTAAGTTGTTGAATATGTTCATGATATAAACTCATTACATTAATTACAATTTCAACTGAGGTCATCAAGTCAAGCGGTCAATCTCGCGTTTAACCTTTTATGTTATATAAATAAATACATATCTAGAAAAACTGAAAAGCTTTTCACACTGACAGCATCAGGGAAATGCTGAGTTGTTAGAACATTAAATGATTTCGTGTGATGTAAATTCTATGGGTGTAAAATCAAAATTACCAACACAGAAAAAAAACAATAACAGATTTCTTTCAGAAATTCATGTAAAATGAAAATTATGAAAAGGGATTTCATGTGATTTAAATCTTCCCAAGTTTTTAAAATGTGTTGAAATTGTGGATTTGGATACGTGTGAAAATAAATATACAACAGTTGTTGCAATTTTTTAATTCTTTGGTTTGAAACCTGGAATAAGTGGTCAACTGTCTTATGTGGCCAATTTGTCATTCTCTCACAAGTGGCTCCTTAAAACAGGTTTGAGTGTATGTAGAAGTGAAGAAGATCTAAGGACATCTGTTTTTAGACAGACAGCCAAAATATTGATACATTTCAATCTTGGGAGATGATCCCAGCAGTCACACAACGTTGTTTTAAAGTTCAATATTAGTTGAAGTTTGGGTTTAGACGTTGATAAATTTAGATACACTATTGATTCAACGTTGACTTTTCAGCGTTGAGAATGTAACGTTGATTCAACATTGAATTCAAATTAAGATGAATTGCCAACATTGATTCAACGTCGGATCTTCGCCGAGCGCTCCGATCCTATTTTTGCTGATAGATAATTCGGACTATAATAGTGTCGGACTATAACACTGTCGGACCATAAGGAGGTCGGATTTGACAAAGTCGCACTACCATATATCTTTACTAACTATTATAAATAACAATAAAAATTAAGGATATTAGATATAGGAATTTTACACATTCAATGATAAATATGAATTCAGTACGAGTTTGCCAAAGTACGAATAAAGAGCATACGCAGTAGGACATCCGGAAAATATTCAAAAAGACAACATAACAGTTACTGGTAAGTTTTTAGAATTTCAATGATTTTATATATACAGATGTGGTTAGGTTTTAAAAATTAAAATTCGGTTTGTTATAAATCGTAATCGATCGTGATCGTGGATGCTTTTGAATTTTAACCTACGCCAATTTCATTGTACATTGTAGGGGAAATCAACTAAAAGCTGCACCACGGGACTCTTTCAACTCAAAAGACCAACATAATCCATTAGAGAATACTATAAATAGGAGATCAACATAATCAAAAGGACTCTAACATCAAGAGTTATATTAACAAATACTCTTTAAAAAACGTTTGGCATATAAGAGTATCATTGAAAAGACATAATTTGTCGAAATGCATATCTGGTGCATCAGAAGTGGTACCGTATAAGATTTGCATCTTACCATGGAATGGTTTCATGTTCTAGACTATTTCATGACCACATGTGAAAATACAAACCGTTTGTAAATGATCGGGTTTTGTAACATGATGAATTTATAAAATGTATTTTGTTGAAAATTATTATAACACAATTAACTATTTATAGGAAATTAAACATTAACCGTTTACGATATACATATATATATTTTTTTCATATAGTGATAAACTGTATGTTTTCCTTTAACATTCTTTGTGCCGCGGGCCGATTTTGGGCCTATTTTCAAATACTACTTTAAGTGCCATGGGCCTATTTTGGGCTTTTCCTTAACTTCATTACGTCACAAGTAAAACTGATTATGACGTTACGTTCTCTTCCTTAATTTCGCGCCACTTTGTTCTCGTTTTGAAGAAAACAATATTTTACCATTCCGTCACTGAAAAAATGGAATGTAAGGAAAGAAATGTTGAACGGGTATTTCATTTGTCTTGGTCTTTAATTAGAAAATGTAAATAATATATTCTGATTTGAAATCAAATATCTTATCAATATTTTCAATCCTTAAATGAATGACACTAGCAATCAAAGTTACATTTGGAAAACCCTTTATCTCCCAAAATGGAATAACTTATCATTCTTTTGATTGTGGAAATACCAGTAATGCAATATCATATTGTAATTTCTGTAAATATTTTAAAAACAATTTAAAATTGGAACATTTTTGAAATTGAATAGCTTTTAAAACGACTGTAAGAAGTTCTCAGGAGCATAACAAAGTGGAAAAATTTATTTTATACATGTCACATAATAAAAAAAATCCACAAGGGAACAGGAAATGACAAGTGCCAGAAAAAAAAAAACTTCTTATGCTCATTGATCAATTATGCCTCTGCAAGAAACGACCGTGACATGGAACTTCCACGTGTATATATATGCTCCCACCTAATTTCATCCACTCTGTTTGCTCAAAAGACCTATACAGATTTAATTTCGTTTAAGCATGAATCATCGATTTTATCTGCCGGTGAATTGGGGCGGGGGGGGGGGGGGGGGGGGGGGGGGGGGGCTATTAGCCGGATTCAGAATTTTCCGTTGCTTCTGTGCTAGATTAAATTTCTCGCTATTTAGTTAATGTAAGAAATAGGGCAGACATTTACAATCAGAGGGCAGGCAAAATATCTTTTCTGTCGAAATTGCGAGGGATCCACTAGTGCGAAGGTTCACGGCCCACTAGTCCGATTGAGAAGGAGTAGCGAACTTCAGTAAGATTTTCGAAATTTTTTTAATTTATATAGCCAGCAACCAAAGAAAGAAAACTACTTTGAACCCGACTTTGAAAAGGCCCTCAATTTGGATGAGTGCATCAGTTTTTGTCCCCCGCTTGAAAAGTGGGGGATATTTATTTGGGTTTGTCCGTCCGTCCGTCCGTCTTTCTGTCTGTCTGTAACGCTTTCGTTTCCACACGATATCTCAAGAACCCTTTGAGCCTTTGCAATGAAATATAGCATAGCAACTCCCTATGGACTAAAGAAAAACCCTATTGATATTGAGGTCAAAAGGTCAAAGGTCAAGGTCATAAATAAGCGAATTCTGTCTGTTATTACACTTTCGTTTCCACACGATATCTCTATAACGATTTGAGCTATTGCAATGCAAGAGTTTTACATAACAACTCCTTGTGGCCTAATGAAGACTACTATTGATTTTGAGGTCAAAAGGTCAAAGTTCAAGGTCGTAAATTTATACAAACTCTCTGTGTGTAACACTATAATTTCCGGGCAATATTTCAAGAAGATTTTGAGCTTATGCAATGTAATTTTATACCAAAACTCCATAGGACCTCTCTCAACCCTCCCAAAGTGCCCCGCCACGTTCGTTTTATTAGTATCTAAAGTATTACATGTTGCTATTTTTAGCACAGGGGCATGAGGAGAGTTATTGCGTATAAAACAGGTTCTCGGCGGACTTTATGTTCTTATTACATCTATTAGAACTGTTTAAAAAAGGCTAGATAAATCAAACACCATGTATTTTGTAAAATTTTGACAATACCGAACATGAATATATACATGTATGTGACTTCACTTCCGCATATATACTTGACTCCAGGTAAAGTGATTCCGTGGTCTAGTGGTATGTTTCTCGCTTCCCATGTGAGAGGTCTCGAGTTCAAGTCCCGGATGGATCACTTTTTTTAGAAATACTTTTTTTAAAAAAAAATAAAAGTATTCAGCACGCGAAATAAAAAAATTACGAGGTCTGGCTCGTACAAACTCATAAAATCCTCATTACAGTGTGATAAATATTCCATATAAAAAGAATCTTCTATATATACACATAATCTATTCATAATAAAGAATAAGCAATTAAATCTGTATATCCATGATGGTATATTTTATTTGCTTCAGTGTACAATACCGACCAGACGCAACCTGACACAAAGCAGTCCTGTCACGGATTATCCGCGGGTTTATGTAACGTACGTTAACGTTATTGTTATGTCACAATACTGTACGTTATGTTTCTATAGTTAATAACAGAGTCTAAATAAACCACTATACGATCAAGACGCATTTCTATTCTTTCCACAACATTTGGTGCCGTGATCGACGGAATGTTTACATAAGACGGAATGGAAGGAAGACTGAAAGCCATACGGGCCGGTAACAGATCAGCGGTGACAAAACTTTTCGGACGATTTTTGGACTTGAAAGAAAGAACAGGCAGTGAAGTAACGGAGGAAATCGAAATAATCAGGAAGTCTCTAACACAGAAAAGGCAAACTCTA